GAATCTCTTTCGACGGAAGTTACTGTGGAATCTATCGGTGGTAATTCGAGGTGAACGGAACTGAAGTGGGTTCGAATTACCGGAGAACTATTAATGAAACAGGGATTAAAAGAAAGGAGCTGGCCAACGGGGGGAACAGATGGGTTCGTTGAGCGCCTATGAATAGAAAGAATCGCTGCTTTTTCGCTATTCACGCGGTGTAGTTGTCTGTGACGTTCATTTTTAAAGGTTCCTGATTGCGGTATGATGTTTCTCAGCTAAAGGTTCGCTTGTGAGAAAATTACCTGTGGGAAACTGCGTGCTTCTCCCAGGGTAAATTTCTTTGATACGGTTATACGAGATGATAATAATTTGAAAAGCGGTGAAAACGCTTAAAAAAAGAATGTAAAAAAATATTTTTAACATTAAATGGAAATTAAACTCGTGATATAAAATTACATCTTAATTAATATTAATTAATGTAATTGTTGAGAGAGAGATTTCATTAATACATTAAAAATATATCATTATAAATATATATATATAGTTAAATTATTAATCTTTAAATATTTAATTGAATATAAGTATAGATTTTTTTTGAAAATTAATTTTGAAACATTTAAATCACTATTTTGTCAATAAAATGATTTATGTAAAAGATCTTTAAAATTACATACAACTTTATAATATATTTTTCCTTCGCACTTTATCCTTTTTTATATTTTATTTTCTTTATGTTTTTTATTTTTTACACCACAGGAAAGCTAACATATTTCCATTTAATGATTAATAACTCTAGATTCAAATTCTTTAAAAGTCTTAAAAATTTGAAATTACCTACTTCATTTTTTCAGCATGAGAAATTAAAAAAGAAAAAAAAAAAAAAAATACGAGAAAATCTTGTCGAAGGTCATTAGTAATAGTTTCCAATACTTCTTCAGATTTTCCGGTAACGAGGGCCGGTAACGACCGTCGCGCAAGAAATAAACGAGTCGAATTATAGTTTTCCGTTTCGGTTGAATTCAATCGTCTCTGCAGAAATACAAGTTTCGAGCATTCAGCTAACGACGGATCGAAGAAATTTTTAAAGAACCGAAACTCACCGCATTGAAATCTCCGCAAGTCTCTCCTCAATATTATTCACCTTTACTACATCTGTAAGTATATGTGCACAAACGAATTGAATTGTGACAAAATGGCGAAGGAAAATTTAATCGAGAAGAATATATATCTAATATATAAGAAAACTTTTAAGATATTAACAATGTGATATCTTTGAATGATTAATCATTGCGTGATTCAATTTTTTAATTATTTTTTAATTGGATTTCTTGTTAGATTTATCAGACTATATATTGATTTTAAAAATAGAAAATAATGAATATTATAAGATTCTATCTAAATTTTTCGTGTTATTGTAATTATATTAACAAAATGCTAAATTAATTGCTTGAATAAAACACACATATATTCAGAATTCTTTTAATCTATAATTCTTCAAATATCTTAGAATTATACAGAAATTCTCTCTCAACGAAAGCATCATGAATCAATCGAAGACAATCGATGATTTATCTACAGATTTTTATTGAAAAAATAAATAAGAAGGAAAAAAAAAATAACAGCCATTAATCACATCACATAATACTATCGATCAAGACACGTAATTGCAATTCCAACCCCGTTGAAAATTATATTAATGACGATCAGCATCATAAGAATGGAATGCAATATCGCGACGGGTGATGTTAATGTAGCTGTTGCCTCTCCCCGACCAACAGAAAATTCCACGCGAAAAGAAGCCTTTATTCTCGTAGCATCGTCATGAACACCACAGTCGTCGGATGGATTACGAGACAGTTATTAAAATATCATTCTTCGCCGGTGACCCTTCTAGCTGGAAGCCACCCTCTATATTTCGACACCATCGGGGGTGACTTCATACTTACACTCCTTCTGTATCGTTTGCAATGGAACCGGGCGTAACGAAGTGCGTGTTTGCCGCATTCTTGAAACTTGAGGGGAGAGGTTCAACTGTATTTAAAGTGTATAAATCATGTTTCATAAATCAAGAGATGGAAGATAAAAAATTCGAGGATTCAATTGTATATATATTAAATTACTTTGCGTATAAAGGATTATTAATTAAAGTAATGTTATAAAAATAAATAGATTTTTATCTCTATAAAAGAAAAATTATTCAACAGATACTATATTTCAATAAGAATTAAAAATTAGGAAATCATTTTTATATACTCATTATCTATTAAATTATAGTTAATAGTAATAAAATAGTAAATATTTTACAATAATGGAAAAGTTTACGAAATAGAAACATTTCTAAAGAACGAATATCACTCAGGTATCCGGCAAGATCTTGATTCTAATCGAAGAGCCAAAGGAGAGGTGCGAAAACGGAGACTATCGCTAGATCACGCCCAGAAACACGACGAGGGAGAAAGAAAAAGTGGAAAGAGAAGAAAAGGTAAAAAGAAAAAAAGGAGCAAAAAGAAGAAAAGGGAATACTGTATCACGAGCTGGAATCTGTTCAAATTTCGTTCTCGTATCAATGGCCGTGTTGTATTTCGAGAAGGGTACGTGCAATTTATTGTAATCTCTACCAGTTGTCGGGCGCACACGAGCGAAATGTCTAACTTTCTCTTCAATGCCGTGTGTCCCACCATAGGCTAAGGTGTAACGTATCACCGGTACGCTTTTGT